CCTTGGCCCACCCTGTTCCTGGCAAACCTCATGTCCAGCTCCCACCGTCTGCCCCTCTGCCCTTCCTCTTTCCTTCTGGGCCCACTTCCAAAAGCAATAAATCAATTTTATTTTGGAGCAGAGAGTTCCACACAACAATAACCGTTCAGTTCCCTTTGAAAGCTTGTTTAAGGAGAAAAATAATTGTGCCCCAAACCCACAAGGAACTCTTAAGTATGAGAAAGTACAGTAGAAAATGAGGTAACGTGGTTTGGCATTCCCCTAAACCTTGGCATCACCTTGGCTTCAACCTGCTGAGGTTTACCTGAGAAACATCGATGGAAGAGAAGCCCACAAATGACCTTCCTCCTTTAAATAGTCAAGATTTGTTTCTTGGGCAACAATACAAAACAACACTTGGAAATAAGGCAGTGTCTGCCTTTGGGGTTCATACATGCTCCAAAAGGGCTGTAGAAGGCTCACGGTTTACCATCTTGGCTTGACGGCATGCCAGTGCACTAATTAATTAATTAAGCCATAATTAATTTAGCCATTTATGGAATAAACCACAGCTGATCAGGTTCTGATCTTTTACTAAGCGGTAAGTCCTGCCTTGCAATCCACAATAGCTGGGCTTCCTCAGCCCTCATCTTCGTCCCGTGGGCCAGCTGTGCTTCGCCCCCACCAGCCAGCCTCCCTCTCTGGATGATTTGACAGGTGTGTTCTTGGACACAGAACTCTCTCCTGTCCTTTTGTGGCAACGAGCAAGAGGTAACATGAGCTGCTTCCAACTACTGGAGGTGCTCTGTTCCCTGCCTGGCTTTCTCCTAAACCACCAGTGCGTAAGAGTGTCTTTCAGGGTTAGAACCCACAGCAGACCTACAGACCAACCAGATTCTCTCTTTATGGCTGTCTTAGAGTGTGTGAAAACTAGTTTTAGTAACGCTGACTCAGAACCCTGGCTGTATAAACCCACCAAAGATCAGTGTTGGCAAGTTTATTCACATATAAAACAAGGAGAGAGTTGGGTAGTCTATTCTTTACATACGAAGCGTAGACGCTCCAGTTGTATTTAGCTTCCATTTAACTTTTGAACATGGAATAGGGGGTGCGGCATCTTGTTTCATGCCTCAAGCCACAAAATGGCTAGAGAGTTCTCAGTCGTCTTAAATGAGTGACCAATGCCCAACCCACCTCCCAGGGTGGTTGTGGGGAAAAATGGGAGGAAGATGGACACCGAACACCTCATTGAGCTCTTCAATGAAAGGGCAATGTAAATCTAACAAATTAATGTGATCCTTTACCATAGCAATACCATACCATTACTCTCTACAGCCACACACCAATTTCCCCCGGACGTCTTAAAATCTAAGAGATTGCAAAATTTAAATGGAACATAATGGCTTAATGATTGATTTTCCAATATTTGTAGCCTGCCCCAGTCAAAAATCTCTGAGGAGCATACAACCCAGTAAAACAAACAAAAAACCAAGATGAAACCTGTTTTTCCACCCTCAATTATAGCTAAATGCATGGGAGGACCATGTGGTTTTCAATGCTTTAC